CCCGCACAGAGGCGCCCGATGCGGAGGCCCCTCTTCACACGCGCAGCTGTGAGCAGGCACATCAGGCTCAAGCGCTACCCGATGCTGCCCGAGGAGCCGCCGCACGAGCGCGAGCGGCTGCAGGCCAAGCACGTGATGGCCACCTCCATCAAGTCCGTGTGCGACGTCGAGCGGGTGGGCAAGATCATCGACCTCCTCAACACCACCACGCACCACGGCTTCCCCGTCATCGCCTCCTCGCAGCTCCAGCGCGCCCGCCCGGCCGACGGCAACCAAGGCACGCCCTTCCAGCGCAAGCCGCGCGTGCTCGGCATCGTGCTGCGCGAGCAGCTCGTCACCATCCTCGCCAAGCTCAAGGCGCACAACTGGGGCGCCCCCTCGCCCGGCCCCGACCCGCACGCCCTCGCCGCCGACGACTTCCTGCGGCCGTGGTTCAACGAGGCCGTCTCTGCCGACTCGGTCCGCATGTCTGCCGACGAGCTCGAGCGGCGGATCGACCTGCGGCCGTACATCAACGAGGCGGCCGTCGTCACGGCGCAGAACTCGTCGCTCCGCCGCGTGTCGGCGCTCTTCCGCTCGCTCGGCTTGCGCCACCTGCTCGTGGTGGAGAGCTGCCCCACAATCGTGGGCGTCGTCACGCGCAAGGACCTGCTCATGGGCGGCGAGGAGTTCCTGCTGCCGGGCGGCGACTGCTGGCGCGACGACGAGGCGGAGGAGGACGTGCCCGCCCTCCACCGCGCGCCCGCCTCGTCGCCCGCGCGCCTGTGGCACTCGGCCTTGAGCCGCATCACCAGCTCGAGGCGCAGCACGCAGCCGCGCGGGACGAGGCTCGCCAACGCGGCGCTCGACGCGAGGCTGGACGAGCGAGTGGCCGACGAGGCGGGGCTCCAGCCGCTCAGCGCGAGCGCCTTGCGCCCCATCGCCAGCTCGGGAAGCAGCGAGGGCAGCGGGCGGGCGGGCGGAGGGAGCGACGGGAACGGGGGCGTCGCTGCACCGCCGAGCGAATAGCTCCCCTCTACTAGTTACACTCGAGAGTTTGCTGGTTCCAGGAGCACTACTAGCCGTACAGTTGCGGGAGTCTACAATTGCGCAGGAGATTTATGTATGTAGCATATGCTCTGAGGTCACAGTATGGGTTCGGCACCTGTTCACAGCAGTGTGAAGGTATGGGATGAGAAAAAGAAACTCCGGAGTACCAGTATGGATTTTCTTTTTCCGAGGCCGCGCGAATCCAGGCTGGATTTCTTCTTCGCGCGGGGTGAAAAAAAAACACGGGGCGAGGTGCAATTGAGAGTGGGCGCGAGAGCAATCCCACTGGGATTGCGTTGGTTGCGTGTGATTGCGATGAATGCAGGACCTCAGCTCGGGAGAATGGATTGAATGCAGTCAAAGCGTCCCATACTCCGAACTATTTCTTCTTTTGGAACGCTCCAGACCGGCGCCGGCATGCCAGACGGCACTCTGCAGTTCATGGCGCGCGTGGACCCCAAGCGAACAATCGAACATGCGACATCCGTGAAGTCTCTTGTCGCGAAGCGCGACGACCGACGTCCAGCCGTCAGGGGCGCGGGGAACCCGCAATTTGAGATGCTGAGGCGAGGCATCTGAAATTGCCCGCGATACGAATCTTCGTTCTAAGGATCTCGATTGCCTCGAGCATCCCAAGATGCATGAAGCAATTCAGGATGCGGGGCGCGCGCGCATCCTGAATTGCTTCGAGCATCCTGAAATTGCTTCATGCGTTCTTTTGTTGGGATGCCTGGCAATTTCAAAGCCATGTTTGAAGCATAGGATTTGAATGGGCACGGCTGCGCGGGCCCTTGAGGATCATCAATGGAGACCACACTGCCCCGTTTGCTATGTGCTAAATTGGCCTGATTGCAGGTGAGATGACTGTGGTGTTTTTTTCTAAGTGAGATACTACTGATGGGGATGGAACTGGGAGCCAATCGGTGATAGGGAGGACACTCACCCACTTGTGCTATTCTTGATGACGAGCTGCATGTGCTCTGTCTGCAGCGAGAGGCGGCAGATCGACCGCTCGAGGCGCTCGAGGTCGGCGACGAGGCCGCCGTCGCGCATCCGACACGGGGATTCACTGCACACTCATGACTCATGTTAGCAATTCGGGTTTCGCCGGCATCGTCCAACTTTGAGAGAGATGTCAACGTGAATGAATGAGGGTCGGTTCGTCTGCCAGCTGTTTGTCGACTCTCTCCAGGTTCTCGAGGTGGATATCCTTTGGCCGCGTTGGGTACTCGTTTGTTGTGTGTGACTCGGGGTTCGACCCTGACAGCTTCCCTGAGAACCCCGATGCAGCAATGCCCGCATGACACGTGTGCCGATTGCTGCCTCATGTGCTTAGTCAAACGCACCAGGGCGGGCGCACTGTGTCCCCTACCCGGCTAGGAGCCGAACCCAATCATGATGGCTCTTCGATGATGGCCTCGCCACCTAGCCGGGTCCGACCCGGCTCTTCGCCGGCTCCTCTGCCTTCGCGCAAGGCGTCAACGGCGGTCCAGCACTACTGCGACACTGGCACGCCGATCAACCCAAGTGGGTTCGCCACACGCGGTCGCCGCATGACGCCAACGAGCTCTCAGCTCGATGCCGCGGTTGGCCAGTTCGGGCCGCGTGAGCGTGTGGTGAAGCCGCCGACGAAAAGCGGCGAGTTCCTAGTCTGCGAGCTGTGCGACGCGGGCAAGCTCGCCGATGGCATCGCGGTCTCAACCGTCAACAAGACGGGCTCGGCCGCGAACGCTTGGGGCGAGAAGCCACATTCAGAGGCGCAGGCGTGGTGCGACCTGGTGGAGGCGGACAGGCCGCTCGGCGTCTCGAAGCTCTTCAAGTATTCGTGCGTGGTGTGCGTCCGCACGGCGCAGGTCTTCTCGCGTGCGCTGGACCGGCCGGTGGTGACCGCCTCCCACGGAGACGAGCAAAACCTCTCTGCGCTGCACGCCTTTGACAGAGGCGAGTGCTGAGATGCCACAGCGGGCGGGGGTGGGACACGGGGTGGGACGCACGTGCAGCTTCAGCCCTCTCGCTGTACAACGACCTGCCCTTCCCACGACGCCGCGGAACCAGGCGAGTACTTTCCGATCGCCAAGCCCTCGCAGAGCGTCCTCGCGGCGGTGCGCGAGAGCGGGTCGCACGAGGGCATGCGCGCCCTCGTCGCGCTTGCCAAGGGCGAGGTCTGAACTCCTCCTCCCCCTCGCCTCTTTTTTCTCCTCCTCCACCCTCGTCTCCACCGCCCCCTTCTCCTCGTGCCTATTCCTCTCGCCGTCCAGCGCCCCCTTCTCCCCACCCCCGCCCCTCAGGCCAAGGACGAGCACGCGGCCCTGCTCTACACGCGCCACGGCGGTGCAGACGTGCTGCCTCTCCGGACCCGTCCGCGAACCTCCTCCGAACCTTCCTTCCGAGGTCTCCTAGGTGCCGACGCGCTGCCTCTCGGCTGCTGCGCATCGGCCCGCGGCAGAGTTGGCTCGCTGCTCCGTGAGCCTCCCTCGACCCTTCTCGGAACCTTCCTGCAGGTCCTGGCCGACGGCGTCGACCCGCGGCAGCGGCGCGAGCTGCTCCTCACGCTGCACTTCTCCGTGCTCGTCTCAGAGTACGCGGCCGCCGTGCGCCGCCGCCGCGAGCCCGAGGCGAGCCCCCCCCTGGGGCAGGTTGTTTTTGCGCAGCGGCAGAAGCTTGTCGGGGCGCTTTCCGGGCCATTGGTGGGGGCCTCGCCCCAACCTAATGCGGGTGCCACGGCACCCCCCCCCCCCCCCCCCTTCGCCTCCCACAACACCTTTCCGCCACAACTGCAGAGGAACCACAGAGGCAGCCACACGCTGTTGTGCATGTTGCGCATGTGTGTGAACCGCGTCTCCTCACGGCTCCGGCCGTGCACAGGTCGGCCTCGCCGCGACAGCCGCCGCCGCCGCCGCAGAGCAGCTCCTCTCGCCGCTGATCGCAGACGGAGAGTGGTCTGCCTTCTCGGGCCAGCCGGCCGCCACACCGCCAGCCGCCAAGACGATCGCACCGGCGACGGAGCCGCGCACTGTCTCGTTGTCGACGCCGCCGCAGCGTGGGGAAGCCGTGGATTTCGTCGTCGAGAGTGTGCAGGAGACGCGTCACAACGGGCCTGTGCGGCTCTTTGCCAACGGCCGGAAGTTCGTCTGCTTTGGCCGATACGCGAGAGGCGTGCGCTCCGGCCAGCGCATTCGGGCGGCCGTCGAGCGGCACGAGCCATCGGGCCGTTTCGGGCCGCAGACCGTTCTCGACCCGGCGACGCTGCGGGTCGGCGAGGCGCACAAGCGGCCGGCAGGCGGCGCGTCAGTCGCCGTCGCGCGTCCTGACATGCCAGTCATCCTGTCGGCGAGTCCGAGAACGACGACGGGGGCGGCGCCTCCGGCCAAGTCGGCGCTGCGCGCAGAGTCGGTGGTCGAGGTGGAGGTGGAGGCGCGGCCACAGCCGGACCGGCCGCCAGCGACCACGCCGCCGCAGCCCTCCAGCTCGCCGTCGCCGCCCACCGCCTCTCCGGGCGCCGCATCGCATGCCGCGGGCGCGTCGGGCGGCGTGCCCTCTGCGGGCGAGCGGCTCCGTCAAGGACATGGCTGACAAGCTCGCCGCCGAGCTGGGGCTAGCGGAGGGTGCAAAGATCCCGGAGGTGGCCCAGGCGGCATGTGGGATGCTCGAGGTCGACCGCACGGGCAGCCTCGCCGCCCAGATTGCCGCGTGCTACGCGAAGCTGTTTGCGAAGTGAGATACGGTACTCGTACAGGGCGCCCTGCGCTGTAGTCTGTACGTTTGGGCAGGCCCTCGAGCCCCACGGCCTTGCCACTGCCCTGCTGTACTGTCTTGGTCACCCCGTTGCAGCCTCGACAGAGCGTCCTTGAGGCTAGGCCCTCTAGTATACTAGTATGCGTTGAGAGGCGATCTCGCCGGCAAAAAAATTCAAAACTCGCGATTTTTTTTCAAAGTGTTAGTGCCAGTGCGCGCAGCCCGTGCCTAGTGTGGTCGCCGCAGGAATTCTTTCCAACAGAGAGAGGCTTGTAGCCTTAAGAATTCTTTCTAACAGCGTTTCTCGTCGCGCTTCTCGTTGTGGAAGCGCTTCTCGTTGTGGTCGCGCTTCTCGTCACCCGCATGAAGATGATGAAGCCGTTGTCGCGTTGCAAGCGGGGCGGAGAGTGTCGGAAAAAGAAGTGACCCTGTCCGTTGTGCCAGCGCAGCCTGGCGCAGACGCCAAGCCGCACAGGGGCGCGGCCAATGCCGCAGCCTCCCCGCTGCCCGTTTCGGGCTCCTCCTCCTTCGCCGCCTCAGCCACCTCCTTCGCCGCCTCCGCCGCCGCGCGAGCCGCCGCCGCGCGAGCCGCCGCCGCGCGAGCCGAATCGCGAGCTAATAAGATCTTGAACTCCCTCTCGCGAGCCGCCGCGCAGACTTCCGCCCAGGAGCGCACGTCTCGGCAGTACCAGAAAGCGCACGTCTCGGCCTGGGCAAAGAAACCAGTACCTCAACCGGCTTCCCTGAGCGTCACAGCTCGGTGATCGCGCCGGCCGGACACCACTGTAACGTCCGTTCCGGGCATTTGAACGCGACCTTCGGGGGGAAAGACATGGGCTCTATGGCTCAGACTGGACTCCTCTTGGTCCCTTCTGATGCCCTAGGCCACACCTGGGCCTTACCTGGGGCTCTAGGGGCTGGGCAGGGTTTGCCCCCCGAAACTGGCATGGGGGACCTTAAGACACACACCAAAGCTTGGGCGAGCCGCGTACGCGGGGCGACCACAACACACGGCTCGGCCACCGTACTAGTACGGTAGCCACGAGTAGTTCCACAACAAGTAAACAAGACGTGCGAGGCCGGGCGGACGCCTGCACCTCGCGCGGGTCGGCACCGCTGCTCGCCTCACGGCAACGGCAGCGATGCCGCTGTACTATGACGAGTCGGGAGCGCTCAGATTCTTCGAAGAGCACCCGAGCACGTCGTCGCCAGACCCTGCAGCGACCCACAGCTGCGCAACGGATGCGCCAACAACGACCGGCGCGGCGCTGGCTCCAAGTTTGGGCCCGACGTGGCCGCCGATTTTCTGAGAAGTGGAGCCGCTCCTCTCCCATCGACAGCTGCTGATGGCTCTGCTGTACAAGATCGATGCCGACGGCTCTGGCAGGATATCGCTCCCTCAGCTCACTCGGATCTTCACGATGACGAGCCACCGCTTCCCTGACGAGGCGAGCCTGCTGCAGAACGTCGACGCGATTAAGGTAAGGTAAGGTAAGGTAAATTTCTCCACACACACAAAGTGGTGGGGCAAGGGGGGGCGACCCTCGCATCTCGATTATGGAGCTGCTGGGCATCAAGCTGGACGAAGATGGGACGGTCGACATACAGGCGAACCCGCCGCCTCGCCGCAGCCGCCCGCCCTCCCTCATCACCCCTCTTCACCCCCCCCCCCGCCCACCCACCCACCCCCACACACACTGTTCCCGCCTCTCTCAACGGCTCTTCGTCGCGTTGTTGCTACGCTGTTGTACTTTGACACAGACGTTCGTCGAGTCCTTTCGCCTAACGGCCGCCTCCGTACACTCTCAATCCCAGGTGTCCCCCCCCCCCCCCCCCACATAAGTGTACGCACCTAACGGCCGCCTCCGTATCGCAGCCAGTGGTCGGCATCCCCGCAGCCGCACCCGTCCGCGCACCCGTACAAACGATGAAACTATAGGGCACTTGTCGATTGTCGCCAACCCAGCTGCGAAGCGCGCGGGCCGTTTGTATGATGGCGGTGGTTGTTGGTGTGGGTTGGTCCACATTGTGGCACAAAACGCCAATTGCGGATCGGTTTTGGGTTGTTTTCCCCTTTCTTTTCCTCCCCTTTTGCCCGCTTCCCCCTATCGCTCTCTTTTTTTTTTTTTCTCTCC